TCATATTTGTTAGGAGAAAAGTAGATAGATAGATATACAGTTAATTGCTCACACACAAGAACAAGTGCACGAACAACTAAAAACGAATATGGCCAAAGGCGATCTTATCGCTAAACACGATCTCGTCCAGACAATGTTGGAGGACGAGACAGCTAATCGTAGCGGGAGAAGTAATATGCCAATTTATAAAAAAATTGAACTGAATTATATATAACTTATCAAATAATAAATAAATGACGATCATTGTTGATATATTACACCTACATAAGTATATGTATAAATAAATATACCTGAATAAACTTATACTTACTTAATAAATATATACGTGTTAGAAGATATTTATGCAATCCAGTTTTGAAAATAGGGAGCGACTTGGAATGTCGAATTTCAGATGGGAGATCGTTTTTCACACCTTCGTAAAGGAATCGTAATGGAATCTTTGTTATACTCGGAGCGGGTGAAAGTAAATAGATATCTAATTCTCATTTTTTAAGATGACATTTCTTTAATGTCTTTCTGAAGTAATGTGAAAATTGATTTAAATGATTACTAGCTTCATCAGCGAAGGAAAATATCGTAAGGTAAACCTACGTGCCAGAAAAGATACCGGAATTCTTTGTAAACGTAATAGAAGTCCCAAACCCACATTGAAACAGTAGGCTGTTCTTGACAGCCGTCTTCCCAAGTCACAAATGATTTAAGGGTATACGCTTCTATAATAAGATTTCGGTGGATATTCAAAATGCCTTCACGAGGTTCAAAACTATAATGAAACAAAAACTTTAGTATAAAGTTTTGGTGGTATGCATGTACTTCAAAATTCTATTAATAATAATGCTAATTAATAACCAATGAAAAAAACAGAGGCTGATTCAGCCTCGGTAAAATTCCGTTTCCTTCACATATAAAATTCTTCAATAAAATTATCATATTTATATCATCGTAGATATATTAAATTTATGAATTCTGCACGAGACACTCGAGAGCCTTGTCCTATGATCTTGAGACAATTCAACTAGCCTTGTCCGCTGGTTGTATGTAACAACTATGAATATGGAACAGTGGAAGATATTTACTGTTCGTCATGGCTGATTAGGGAGTTTGCAGAACCCTCATCAATTGTACAGTTATACATATGTTACTTAGCAACGTTTCAAAATATGTATGTACTTAGTTAACAATATATAAATGTGAGTAAACCCTTATTGATTAGTCAGTACTTAGATTAGTTAGTAGATATAGCAAAATAGCCAATACGTAAAAAACTGTAAGCGTTTATTGCCCACAGTTTAAGGGCCAGCTCAAACCGACCAAGAACAGAGGTTCCCAAACTTTATTGTACACAACTTTTTCTGTTTTGCATAGATCCCCTACCTTTCTATGCATAAACGTTAAGCATTGCTAAAAAAAGCTGAACTAATCTAAAAAACAAACAAAGGCTATTTATTTCAAGACTGTGTGATGGAGACATATCAAAGCAAGCTGCATTTCTATAATCTAATAAATAATTGTTGAGATACAGGTTCGCTTACTGTGAGATAAAGGGTTATACATTGTTTGCTACCCTCATAACAATTATATAGTGCAGGGGAAAGGTGTACGAGATGATACTTGCAGGTAAGATGATCCTTTTCAATTGTAGCGAAACTAGTAACGTCATCTAGATATTTTCTTCAGTAAAATGTAGGCCTCATTGTGCCCTCTCATCGGTCAATACGTAATAGCGATGTGAGTGACGAGTTCATATTTGTGGAAAAAAAAAATTGTGTGAGTTTGATCTACGGTAAAGTTGTATAAAAGCTTAGGCAACTTCCATTCTAAGCAATCAATTGCTAAGATTTTTGTGTTGGTGGCTTTGTATAATGCTCTATTTACTTTTTTAATGGCGTGTTAACAGCATACAGGTTATTTTGCCAAACAAAAAATAAAAATAAGTAAATTGGGGCAAGATGATTATGGTTTTGGTGTACGAGATGATCCGTGGGGATCATCTTGTACTGCGTATATTGTTAACGAACTATACTTAATTTGTATATTTTTCTGAATACTGAAACCTAATTAAATAGCTTGCAATACGAATAAAATAGTAGAAGACTGGATTTCGATTACATGATCGATCTCGATTAATAACAAATATAAATGCTTTTTTAAATTTTTATTGAATTAATATTCATTTGTTTTTTGTGAAATTACTCCACTAGTTTGTTATTATTATTAATACAAAGATCGAACACGAACACATCGATTTGAACCGTCTTCTAGCTTACCGCGCCAGACGCTATACCAACTAAGTCACGGAACGAACCAGCAGACCTCACAAATTTTTCTATGTGCTTGCGTCGTGTCTTTGTATGTGGTTTCCTTAGTTGGTATGGCGTCTGGCACGGTAAGTTAGAAGACGTCGGTTCGAATACGGCCGGATCGAAGGAAACTTTTTCTGTGTGTTCGATCTTTGTATTAATAAGACCAGGCCGCGTAATTGTAAAAGAAAAACCATTCGTGGTGGGTAGTCGGAAGACTATGATCTAAAGAACTAGAGGCGTAAAAAGTAGGACACCACATAGATCGGCAAGTAAATAGTTAGTAGGTAGGCGTTATGTCATTAAAAAGACGGGCTAAGGGTGAAAATAAAGGGTCGGTCAGTTCAATGAAATATTTAGGTGAAAAAAAAACTGTTTTCATCAGATGTGTTAAACAGGAAATCGAGCTCGTAAAGTACATTAAAGATATGGAGACGAGGATGGATAGCAACTTACCATAAAAAACAATATCGCCCACCCATAGGTACCTGTAAGATATAAATTAATTAGGATTATTTGTTCTCGAAGTTCTGTAACTATTGTTTCATATACCTAGTAGATTACATGAGTGAGGACTTTGTTAAGTCTAAAAAGTTGTTGTTTTCGTTTGTTTCTACCAAAACCTACAGATTTTCCTAAATAGAGGCAAGGTGATTCCCTGGATCATCATCTTGCCTCTCTCTCTCTTGGACACCCCGGCGTCCAAGACGATCCTTTAGTAGGGTTTTAAAAATATTCAAACGTAATAATGAAACATCAAAAAATAAAACGTTTTTAGTAAGACAACATGTAAATAGATAAATTTTCTATCATTCAACGCTTTTACATCTGCTTTAAGCTGAATATCTTTTAAACTACCACCATTCTCCTTTAAGGGGATCATCTAGTACACCTTTCCCCTAATTTTTGCTTTGCCATTCTCTGATCTAAAAAAACCTTTGTCTAATACTACCCTCTTTCCTTTGATTTTCCCTTCTAAATATAATGATTCCAAGAAAACTGTAATTTGTTAGATGCACAACAGTGGTAGTTTAGTAGCGGTAGAGCTTGTAAAAGAGTTCATCCTGGGAAGTACTGCTACCGTATAATGTGAGGATTACTACGTTCCGGTATTGAAAAGTGAGGGTGGTGAAATTACAGGCACACGGGACTTGTCAACTTATGTCTCAGGGCCCAGTGACAGTGCCGCTCACGTATTTGCGATTTAAACTCCTGCAATCATTATGGACAGGTGTGTCGCTTACCACCTGGCGCAAGATTATTTTTTGTGATTCGTGAGGTTCGTCCCATCATTTGGTACCATCTCAGTACAGAGTAAAAAACCGACCTCAAAAGTACGTGGAATTACATCTATTTGCCAAGTTTTATTGAAATATCCCCTAGTACGCCACTATACAGGACTTGACACAGGAGATAATAAAAATCGGTTCTCACTACTCAAAGTATATTGAGAGAGACGCCTTGAATTGGAGAATAGCAAAACTAACCATTAAAATAATTGCTCCTTAAGTAAAACTTAGGCGCTATGTATAAAAATGAATGTTAATGCGTGATCAGCCACCCTTAAAGGTGCATGATTTTCTTCAAAATGAAATGGGATCACTATGGAGGTACCCTCTTTGCAACAAAAAAAAATCATGAAAATCGGTTCACAAATACCGGAGTTATCGCGTAACATACATACAAAAAAACATACAGTCAAATTGAGGACCTCCTCCTTTTTTGAAGTCGGTTAAAAAACAAACATCTTTCCCGTTCAATTCACTATTGTCTTTGAAAAACTTATCTTTTTATCCCTATAGTTTTTCTTCAGGGCCAACTGATTCCCTCCATTCTTTTCCAGCACCACATATTTGTATAGTTGATTGGAAATGCTACGTTTTTCTACACGTGGTGCAAGCAGTCACGACATTATCTACTAATTGATGCAACGTATAGCCTATTTGTTAAGTTGGTCAACGGCTACACAGTTGTAATTGTCGTTTCCGGCCTGGCGCTTGTTGAAATTAGAACGATGACCATGTTTAAGATATCATTAAGAATTTTCGTAAGTTAGGTTACATATCTTAAATACTTGCAATACAAATTGAAACATGGAACTAATTTTTAGGTGTATTTAGGCGGTTATGCAATTGTCCAAAAAATTGTATGATTTACATAGGTACTTTATAATAACAAAAAAGTGCCAGACAACCACACATATTGCCTGGTCTCAAACTAGGAAATTCTCTGTGCTATGAGTAGGTACCAAAGCAACTGAATTCTGAGGCACTTCGCAGAACACCCAGACCTGGAGCAATTTAAATAAGTTCATTTCCCAAATCGGTCCTACCGGGAATCGAACTCGGCGCCTCTGAATGCAGCGCCCACAACCGTTAGGCCACCGAGGTCGTCAATAGAAAATAGAACTGCTTTTTTAGGATCTGAAACCATGTAACAATCGCAACAACCTAAGAACTCGTTGTAACCCATCAGAATAATTGAGAAAACAAAATAATTTTAATAATTTTGTCTTCCCTTCCTTGTTTTAATTTCACAGTTGCAAATAATTACCGTTACTCAAACAAGAACAATAACTATTTTTAGTTCTGTCATGTTTAGAATCCAAGGCATCGATCCCTCTCAAACATTTATATACCTAACTCTACATGGAATATTTTAAGAATGACTCGTACATAACTTTGTTATTTCTATCACCAGTTCACTCGACAACTACATAGAGATGCCACTTAACGACGCTCTGCCACTGGCGTCTTCAATCTGCATAGACCAGACTTTACCCACGGTCTTCTACACATTCGGGTACCGAGGCCGTGCCGGAGGACCTGCCACCACCGCTATGATCTCCGCCTATTTGAAGACGAGGAAGAGAAATGTGATTCTTCTAGATTGGGAGGACGAAGCTAAGAGTGGTCTTTTGGGTATTCCTTTAGGATATGTGCTTCATGCTGTGCCTAATGCTAAAAGGGTATGTTAAAATATAACTTTAAAACATCGAAGGTTCCTTTAGCCCCAAGACTCATAGAAATCAATTAACAATTGCCTCCGTGGCCGAACGGCTACCACGACGCACTGCCACGCAGAGGTCCCAGGTTCTTCCCGGGCCGGGAGAAATATTTGTATGGCCTACAGTTATTTCTCTCGTGAGTTTGGGTGTAATTTGTGGTTGTCTATGTGTTTCCATGGCACCCGCGACACAGGGTTTTCGTATTGCGGGGCTATGTTTAGTGTGTGCGTTATTATTATTCATTCACCGTCTTTGAGTTCTATAAAGTCCGTACGCTTTAATTTTACACAGATAAAATAATTTTGTAGTCCTTTATATGTTCTTGCCGAATATGCCTGTGCTATATTCCTAATTAACCTTAATATTTTTTAGCTCTTTACCTTTTTCTTCTTCACCTTTAGCTCAGAAAGGCTTCCTTTCTTATTAGAAATCTGCACGCAAAAGCGTTTTTTCCTTTCTAGTGTGGAAAAGGTTTTTGAAATTCGAACTTGACGAAGGGCCTGCTGCACCTAACTTTTACTTTCGATGAAAAAAATTTACACGTTCAACTACGCGATTTGTCGTACATTATTTATATAAATCCGTTGCTATGTTTTATTCTTCTCATTGTTGGCATTAAATTGACAACAATAACTAATTTTGTTTATTAAATTATTTTAATTAGTCGAAAAACTAATCGATTTGTTATAGTTCAACTGTTTTTCTTTCATCTACCATTTTCCTAGCTATAGTGAGGTGAATATATGTTTTGCTAGGCAACGAAGTTGTTTTGTGTCTCGTGCCTTGAAATACCCACTACGCTCAGGATTCTATTTTTGAATACTTAGAATCCTTCACTTGGTCAAACAAAAACTTTGCAGCATTGCATAACAAATAACTATTACTTGTTTGTAGATGGGAGATGAGATGGGAAAAGCATTGGTGCAACTAGCGCGAGCAGGTTTGAACATGACGCAAGTGCACCTGCTGGGGCACTCTTTGGGGGCACATCTCATGGCCTACGCCGGGAAACGAGCCAGAGCCAATGGATTTGTTGTTTCTAGGTAAACAGTAGGTATACATTTAACAGCCTTCTCACCTGCACTCGACCAGCCAGCTTTTGAGTAGCTGATCTCCTTTGGTTATATAAACACATAATCTCTTTTTAAATGTTGGGATATCGACTACTTATATCCAAGATTTCATAGCTATAAACTCTTAGCCAATAAACACAATCTTGGGATCCGTTTCCATGAACAGATTTCGCAAAAACAACTTAATCTTTCAGTTTGGTATAGTTTCCACAAATGATCCTGGACTCCATTAAAGATGATTCTATAATCTCAGTATAACATGAGCAATAAGACAAAAAATTTTCTTTTCCAAGATGTCAATTTACTCTCGAAAATGATGTGACACAAATTATCTCAATAAGCGGTAGAGCACCTTGTGAAAATGTTTATCTAGGGAAGTTAGCCATGCGCAATTGCGAATGATTTATATTCGACTTGTAAGTAATTATTAATCCTGTCATTCGAATGACATAAAAAAGGCCCTTATCAGACCGGTCCATAAAAATGGAGATAAGAGTTGCTTTAATAACTATCGCCCCATTGCCATACTACCGTCTATTTCTAAAATCCTAGAAAGACTTATCTATAACAGGCTAATAAAGTACTTAGAAAAGAACAGACTACTGGCACCTACACAATACGGCTTCAGAACTAACAAATCGACTGATGATGCAGTGCATGAGCTAACAGACTACATTGTAAGAAACACAGACTCAAAAAAAAAGTGCTTAGCTATATTCCTAGACCTCGCAAAGGCTTTTGATACAGTCTCAATTCCAATTCTCCTTGAAAAATTATACAGCTTAGGAATAAGAGGACATGCGCATAATCTTCTAAAAAGTTATTTAACTGACAGGACTCAACGCGTTAAAATAGGTGACACTGTAAGTGAGGAACTGACCGTCGAATATGGCATCCCGCAAGGCAGCATCGTAGGACCATTGCTTTTCCTCATTTTTATTAATGATTTATGCCTCATCCCCCTACCAAACAATAGTAAAATAGTATCTTATGCTGACGACACTGCTTTATTGTTTAGTGCTGAAAATTGGACTGACACTTTCACATTAGCCCAAGCGGGCTTTGACATTGTCACTAATTGGCTTAAAAAAAACTTACTGACCCTAAATACCGAAAAAACTAAATACATGACGTTTTCCTATAACTCACTCACCCAACCGACTTTAAATTCATGTACAATATTAGCTCATAACTGTTTTGGCTCGCTATCGGAAAGTACTTGTAAATGCCCTCAACTAAGCAGTACAAACACCATTAAATATTTAGGTATAACAATTGATAAGTATTTAAATTTCAAGGCCCATATCGAAAGTCTTACAGCTAGAGCACGAAAATTAATATATATTTTCAAAAATTTAAGACATGTCGCTAATGAAAAGCTACTGAAAACTGTATATTTATCACTTTGTCAATCACTGTTTGTATACTGCATAACGACTTGGGGAGGCTCCCATAAAAATACTTTGCTAAATTTAGAAAGAGCACAAAGAGCCATTCTGAAAGTTAGCACTTTCCGACCTTTTCGCTTTCCCACAGCAGAACTCCTTGCTAAATGTGATGTACTTTCAATACGCCAGCTATTCATACTACTAACCGTAATAAAAAAGCATTCACTAACACCATATATCCCATCACTCCAAACCAGCAAAAGACGAGCAGACATTGTTTGTTCAACTGAACGGTTTCGAACAGAACACTCCCACAGATTCTTTTGCTTTCTTGGTAGCTATTTGTATAATAAAATAAATCGTTCTCTATCTATATATCCTATGAATAAGTTTCAATGTAAAAAAACCGTACAAGAATGGTTAAAAAGAATGAACTACAATGACACTGAAAATTTTATATCAGTTTTTAAGTAATATAAATATAATTAAGACGCCAGCTATTATAATTAAGATTTATGTATTATTGTAATTTATTGTTATTGAACAAAATATGTTGACTAACCGTTATGCTATAATCACCAATTTAGATACCTAAGACACAAGTAAACAATTTTACTTAGTTTAGGTATCACCTACATTAATTTGCACTACTAACCTTAATTAAAGTAATGTAAACATAAAATAATTTCATTGTTTGCGACAATTTGGCGCATATATGTAAATAATAGGTTATTTAATAAGATTTATGTATGTATTTAGGTTAATATTTTATACAGAAATAAATTTATCTTTATCTTTATCTTTATCTTTACATATTAGTAACCTACTAATTTTCGTGTTCGATTGATCAATCATTACTAATTAGTATTAATATTCTTTACATTTCATACACCATTTCTGCCTCTGACACATGGTGAATATCGTAAATTTGACGGGGACAGGGGGGATATTTTATTATGAACAAAGTGAATCTGGCGGAGTTTCGAGTCGTTCCGACATATACTACATAATCATGCGACTCGTGCACCCGACGAAGGCAAGGGCATTCGGTATCGGTATCGGTAATCATTTGACTTGAGACGAATGATTGTGCTTGGATTCGTCTTAGGCGAATGATTTACCCATTCGAATGATTCGTATTAGTAACATTCGAAGTCGCGCATCTACTGCCAGTACTGCCACCTTATCAATTTCGGCCGCCAAACGATAATGTAGGTGAAATTACAAGCACTTGGTACTTGTCAATGTCTCATGTCTAACGGTGACGGGTGCAGTTGTACTCCACAAATCTTTGAAATTTAATGCTCTGACTGGCATGATTTAGGCACTGCAACTGTTATGGACAGGCGAGTCGCTTACCACCAGGTGCACGACTTGTTCTTTCTGTCACTTGATATCATAAAAAAAGCGCGAGAATGACCATTGCGCACAGTAATGCTTACTCCAAGTCGTGATTTTGGAAGTCTCTTAACATCACAATACATTTTTTTTTTTTCAATTTCAGGATTACCGGCCTGGATCCAGCCCGTGCTCTTTTCGAAGGCTCGTTTGCTGTACAAAGCGGGCTCGACCGTACTTGTGCCAAGTTCGTGGACATCATCCATAGCGACCCTGGCGGTTACGGTACGAGCCAGCCGGCGGGTACCGTTGACATTTGGCCCAACTTCGCTGGTACTGGTGTGTCACAGCCTGGTTGCCCTGAAGGAAGTTTTGAAATGTTCAGTTCGGATGGTAAATTATATTTCATAATTCACTTTAACGCCTAATTTTAGTTGTTTCATCATTATCAGTTTTTGCTGTTGAATTGACAATAGGCGTGTATAATACAGGAATGATTATTTGGCGCATAAAAGAGCATATTTATTGTTGTCACAATGACATATCTGAACAATCACTCATAATGTACAACACATCGTATTATGTGTAAGGCCCAGATAGGTATAAAAATCTAATAAACCAGTTTCTGATATCGGATGCGAGTAGTTCGTAACACGGTGTCATTGGAATGTTCATATCTACGTCATGGTCAAATATTGGCAACTACTTATCATGGAAAGGTTAACTAGTCACCCCTAGTAGCCTTTGCCCAAATATTTACATAAAAAGAATTGGGTAGGTTTACGGGGCTGTATGGTTTCTGTCTGTCCAAGAACCCGCCGGAGGAAGTACCAACGCCACACACATATCTACTCCAAAGCAGCACTACTTAGATCAAAGGCTAAGAAGAGTCAGAGCAATTACAGGCTCAAGACAAGATCTTACAACTTTTACAAGTAATATAGATTATTTTCCCTCTGGGCGGTACTCAACACGTCTGTGGTACTTAATCATTATAATATCCTATACCTATTTTTAACTTTTTGATAACAGATTTGTGCAGTCACGACCGCTCCTGGCGGTACTTCGTAGAAGCGCTATCCACTCCGACCTCGTTCATGGCTGCAGCAGCCCCTGGGTACAACAACTGGATCTCCAGGGACTTCAGAATCACTGACACTATTTTCTTGGGAGACTTAACAAGTACTCGGTTAGTGGTCATTTCAGTAAAATTCCATATTATTACATAGGTATGACTGCTCACATTCGGTATCTTATAGCGTGAGGACAATAGTCTACTCAGTAATACCCTATTCTATATAGGTCCGATCCCATTGGGCCGCGCGGAATCGTTTTAAGCCTTTACCGAAGGCTTGATTTGTTAAAAAAAAGGAAATTACTCCGCGAACCCAGTGAAGTGCAAAACAGGATTGTTGCGAATGCGAATGTCAGCATGTGCATCCGTGGATAATCCGCATGAATTAAAATATCCAGCTTCCGCATTGATTGATGCTGATATATGATATTTACTTCGTGACATTAATTTACAAACCATACAGAAACAGACTGCAAGCTCAAAAAGCAGGTCAGCCGTCGTTCTCACCTTTGAGAAAATTTCAGTTTATGTATAATATATATATATATATATAATTTTTTTTTATAACTAAATTATCACAAAATCATTGAAAAAATCAAATCTTTAAAAAAGATTTATCATGTAGATTCAATGAAGTTTGGTAGCAGTAGCTCCTTGTAAAAGAGTTCATCTAGGGAAGTGCAGCCACCTTACCTATTTCTGTCGCCAAGAGGTATTGTGAGCACTACGGAGTTCCGGTTTTTTTTTATAATATGAAGTGACAGGACGAACAAGTCGTGCGCCTGATGGTAAGCTACACGCCTCCTTAATACTCGCTTCCATAACAGTTGCAGTGCCACTCAGAGCTTCAAATCGCAAAGATCTGAGGGGCACTGCGCCCGTCACCCTGAGACATAAGTTGAAGTCCCATGTGCCTGTAATTTCACCAATGTTTAGTCATTTCAATTTAGTAGTTTCACCAGGTTTGAAGGGTAACGGTGCTGATGAAATTACAGGCACGTGGGAATTGTCAACTTATGTCTCAGGGTGAAGGGCGAAGTGCCCCTCAGATCTTTGCGATTAAAGTTTTAAAGTTCTGAGTTGCACTGCACAGTTATATAACAGTTTAAGGACAGGCGTGTAGCTTATTAGCGCCGAACCGACCGTGTGAGAACGAATAGCCAACGCGCTGCGTGAATGAAATATTCGACTCGGCGAGAACCGAACCGAGCTACCTCGAGTTCACAGAAAGTAGCTCGAGTTGACTCATTGTGGGAGTAGCTTGAGTTAAATAACTCGACTCGCCCATTGCTCGCGACTCGAGCGTGCTCCGAAGGTCACCGACGCACTCTATCATTCATACATATCATAATATCATAAGTATTCAGCTCGATGCGACGGCGAGGCGGGTACCGAACCGAGGTAACTCGAGTTCATGAAAAAGTAACTCGAGTTGACTTGTTCCAGGAGTAATAAATTCGAGTTAAATAACTTAACTCGCTACTATTGAGTACAACTGTTACATAACTGTTGTGATTTTCTGTTCATAGTTAGCAATTTAGAACTCTTCCTTTTTAGAATGTATCGTATGTTACAGAGCCCGTGGTAGTTATTATCTAACAACGGAATCAAAATCACCCTACGGCAAGGGCCAATCAGGGATCCTAGCTGACAATCGTGTGCGGCGCCGACGCACGCCGACCTCCAGCTTTACGCGGTGGCTGCGGTACCTCAGGTGATATTTTCGAAGGCTCGCCGGGGAGTCGGCACGGGCAGTCGGTAGAATAATCAGAACTATAGTGTGGGTTAACATTTAGTTTTGTGTGTGACATGTCCAGTAGGTATATGTATTTGAATGTTGCTCTTAAGGAAATATGACAATAAGGGCCAACGCTAACCGACGGACGGCAAGGCAGAAGTCATAAAGAAAACAAGACAAGCTACAAAATCTCGACAATCGCTGAAAAGTAGCCTGCTTGTCGGTTTTCTATCGGATACATTTCGGGAACTTTTCAATTTAGTTGCACCCTCACTTCCTGCTTCGGTCGACTAGAAGGCCGGAGTACTCCATCCTTATGTCGTTGACATACCAACCATTCGCACTAAGTGCTTTGCTTCCTCCTTTCTGATGCGTAGGAATAACGAATGACTAAGGCAAAGGATTGTAATGCACTTCGCGGCACCTGTGTTTCTCGCTATTACAATTTGGGGCTATTTAATGCTAGAGTGAATATACATTTTTTAGGCAAACCAATTCACATCGTCGCTTAACATCAAGTGAGATCGTGGCTAAGCGTGTGTCTATTGTTTGTTTAAAAAAAAATTATGTATATTTGACACACAGAGAGGAATGCCCCGCACTGTTCCGAAGTCGGTCTCAGGGCATTGCAATTTATACCTTCTTCCTATACAATAGCATAAAATATGTATTGATAAAATTAATATCCTCTGCCTTCCCATCCGCCGGTTTGCACTGGTTCTAAGTGGTCTCCTTTTATGGTCTGCCAAAAAATTAAAAATTTGAAATTAAACTTCTATTTTCGGGTCTAAATCGCGAACGTTTGTTTTTTCACAATCACAAACAAATCAACGTTTCAGTCTCTTTACTGGTCCTATGGTCATGCAAACCGCATTTACATCCGGAAAACTAGTTTTATTTTCTGTATGTAACAATTAGCAAAATTATAAAAACTTGATAAAGATTTCACTTTGCTTTGAAAGGAAATGAATATGGTTAGTAGAAAATGCTATTCAAAAAATTTAACGATTGGTATAATGGCTAGCTTTCTGTTAAAGTATTATTGAGTAAGAGTTCCTTCTGTAGTATATTGCAGAAAAATACGTTCTCCAAATTATTTTATTGCCATTAGCAGTGACATTGTAACTAGTATAGTTAATATATAGTTATTATACTCTAGGATGTACATAATTCGAGTCACCTTGCATTTTGAGTATTAAACGCCCAAAACATAAAAAAAATATTTGATCAAAAACTATTAAAAAAATTTGAAACTGGTATACGGAACGTCATTTCCACAAGTCCTTGTTGAAAATTTGTAAAATCGACGATTTTTTAATAATACGGGGTTATTATTATAAAATACTGAAATATTGCAAGACTATATCTGTGGCTCTAGTGAGAAGGAGTACAAGTCAAAAAAGACATCTTTACAAGGAAATGCAAAAAATACCTACTTAACGCATATTAATTTCATATCAAGCTTTAACTGTTTTTCGCGTCTCCCTGTAAAATTGTCTTTTTTTACTTGTACCCCTTTTCACTAGAGCCACAGATATTGCCAACATCAAAGTATAAACTTTCGTTCCATGACTCTTTACAAAACATAATAGTTTTAGCAAAAATAAAATAAGATTTTGTTGTACTGACACTTTTTAAATGTAATACGCTAGCGTCCTCCCTGACAAATCCTACCCCCGGTGTTGCGTTTTGCATCGGACTGATATTTACGCGAGCACTTTCTTTTGTTACTACAGAGTAACAAAAGAAAGGGTAATTTCCATTTAGAGCTATCTATTTATATATTTTTATTTTTGTACAATCTAATATCTGATGAATTATTAAAACACTTGTGAACAAAAGTTGTTATTTATGATGTTTGTAATATAAGTCGTGTGAGGCTGTTAGTATTTTACAAATAACCCTAATAAACATGTATAAAGAAAAGTAACTTTATAAAAAAAATCCCAACCTCTAAAGTTCCTGGAGTTACATGTATTTGCCAAGTTTCATTCAAATCGGTTACCGGAAAGTGCGCGAAACCGGATTTATCCCCTAGTTTGCCAACCTTAGAGGTGAAATATTTTCTACAAATTTAAATGGGATCAATACTGCGGATTTTGATAATTCTTTAATCCCAACAAAATTATCAAAAAAAAAAGAATTATCAAAATCGGTTCACGAAGTTATCGCGTAACATACATAAAAATACAATCGAATCGAGAATCTACTCCTTTTTGTAAAGTCGGTTCAAAATGCAAAGTGGTGCGAATTATGTATCCGGTAGCGCATATGCACACAATAAATGTTAAATAAATTATATTCAAGAAGCATGCTTAGGATTTGTTAAATATTTAAGTGAAATAAAGTGACGTGTGTACTTACCTATTATTATTCTTCCTGACTATTCCTTTTTTATCAAGAGAAAAAAATCACAGAATTACGTATGTGGAATGTGGATGTGAGTACAGGATCAACAGCGCTTCAAGTTCAAGACACTTAAGATTTAAGCTCAACTCTATACAGTTATTACTACAGTCTAAACTCCATCGCTCGATGTGATCTTGACATACAATAAAACTACTTGTTCATTATTAAATATGTATAATTTGCCGTCGCATCATTGCATCCAGAATGGTATTAATCATACAACTTTACAGGAAAAGATCGGACCATATTTCACTTGATGAGCGTACTTTTGCAAGTAAAAAAAACCATAACTAAATAAACATTTTTTATGTGGTTCGCCATATAAAATATTAGTATAATAATAATAATAATAACGGACACACTCAACATAGCCCCGCACTAGGGAAACACTGCGTCGCGGGTGCCATGGACACACACATAGACAACCACAAATTACACCCAAACTCACGAGAGAAATAAATGTAGGCCTGACAAATATTTCTCCCGGCCCGGGAATCGAAAGATAAATAAAATATATTTTATACTCGATTAAATCCGAATTTAAAATCAAATAATGTGTGAAAATCGTGAAAGTTTAAAGCAGTGTAGTCTTCACAGTGTTTCTATAGGTTAATTGTTAAGGAAGAAGTAATGGCATCGGTACCTCTAAAATAATTTTTACACGATAGATAGTTCTATATTAAAACGTTTATTTTATTTTCTCCCAACATGTACATAGAATAGATACTTAATAATCATAGGCTAACTTTGGGAGACAGGAGCTCAAACTAGGTTAGACCTGTGCTATGAGTCTCCTGGTCTCCAACAAACGCTCATGAATTGTGCCAAATTATAATGCAAATAAGTACCTATTTTATGTAATTTTTGCGAAAGCACCGACCACAATCTTTATATTTTAGTACAATTGAGTGTCCAGTAATTTAGACTAATTATGACTTAAGACAATGAATATTGTTATGTTCTGTAAAAGCAACTTTATTACAAACAATTAAAATAAACATATTCAAATAAACATATTCATATTCAGTATAGGGAACCTAACATAAACTTTTTTGGCGCGACTTTAATACTTTCGATCATCCTCTACAACATGGTCCGACCTTTATCAATCTCTGCACTGTTGACTAGTTCACTATTTTACAAATGTATACAAATCACAAATATACAGGGTGACTGGTTGAACGAAATAAATATTTAAAGAGATGAATGAGTAGCTGATACCCATCCCGAATATGTAAAAATAACACGACTATGTAAAAAAAAATATTAAACATTTTTATTTAAAGAAAATACTGGCTCTAACATTTTGTATTACTCTGCGCGTGCCACCGCGTTCGTCAAAACAAAATCTTCTGCGCATGTGCATTAGACACCCCCGCCACTACTCGTTGAAGGCCGCTTGCGCCGGCTACCCCAATCCCGCCCGCGCGTCCCGCCGTCCGCCGGGTTAGTTCGCTTACGCCCTTCTGTAAGTCAGGACGTTGTGATTTTGCGATTAAACGCACGCGCCGCCGCCGCCGCGCCGATCTTTGTTTTCCGTGATACATCGGTCTATTCAACTGTGTAATTCCGTGGAGTGCAGTGACACATAACGATGCCTTATCACTACACAAATGAGGAGTATTGGGACATGATACGGTGTTATGTTATTGGCAAATGATGTAGTTACTGGTGCTAGGGACCTGTACCGTGAAATGTTCCCTAATCGGCGAGTTCCATCCTACACTTTAATGTTTAGGACTCAATTTTCGTTTGAGGACTTTTGGGCAGTTCACTGTGCCCTCACATGCTCAAGGGCGAGGAAGGGATCCGTATCCAGTGGACTTACAAGAAGCGATTTTTGAATACTTTGAGCATGACCCACGCCGGAGTACTCGAAATGCAGCAAGACGATTCGGAGTGTCACAATGGACAGTGTGGAAACTCTTACACAGAGACGGTCTTCACCCGGACATTGTTAAGATTGCTGTAAATTTGTAAATTTAATCAAAATTAATTATTGTAAATAGGTATGATTCCATTTTTTAAATACGCCAAAAATACCAAACCATGCTCATACCTACTAGCTTAGTTTGTGTTTTACAACTGCCTAAAATATTGTGTACTTTAAAAAATAATTTATCGTAGTTTAATTGGTATTTTTGCCTGTCCTAAGCCAAAATCAAAGTATGAAGGGAAAATGGAATTATTTTTAAAACATTTTAAACGAGAGAGGCTTGACACGCGCTCGTAGCGCGGGGCGCGGCGCGGCGGCGGCGGGCGGTTCATTTTCCTAACAATCAGCTGTTCGTAGAGTAGCTCAAACGAACAGAGTATTAGTATTTGTAAAATGGTACGATATATTTTTTTTATAATGTTTTGGGGCGATATTTTTACACATTCGGGATGGGTATCAGCTACTCATTCGCCACTTTAAATATTTATTTCGTTCAACCAGTCACCCTGTATATCTAGATAGACGCCGCAAGTGTACGTACTTCGCGTGCCCAAAGTAAGTAAATTCACTTACTTGCCGCTGCTACACTTCAGAACGCGCTCGACCGTCGTAGATATTTACCAGTCGAAAACGCGAAAAATGCATAATTGTGCCATTATAAACAGCGAAAGCACCATAACTGTGGGTAAACGGGTAAACAGGGACGTTTCCTTCCACGAGCAAATGATTTTGTAATCAGAAGATGCATAACTTAGTTTAAAAACAATTATTTTGGTCTTGTACGAATTTCGAGAAAACAAATATGCAACTCAGTGTATGCCTCATGATTTGTAATACATTGCGGCTTTTACTTAGTGCGATATATTTGTGATCCCTTGTTAATACGCCATGAATATCGAACGAACGCACTTTTGCATTATGCATTCAGTTTCTGTGGTACGGCCGTTTGTACATTTTTTTGGCCAAATTTAACATTTAGTGATGTATACGTTAGGCAACAACTGTTCTCGATTCTCATCGATTTTGAAAACAAGGGGACGAAAATTATTACGACCTTAGCAATATTATAAAAATATTCTATAACTCTTTTATTATAACGTTTAGTAACGTTTCGTTTTTTTTTTCAGTTTTGTAGTATCTATTATCAGTAGTATCTGTAATTTCGATATTTTTTGCAGCACGTTGCCTCGAATGTCCGAATATAGTGAACAAATAAGTACTTGTTAATTATTACTAAGATTTAATTGCTACGAGTAATACAAAAATATATATAATGTAAAGAATTAACAGTGCGCTGTCTTTACAAAAACCTGGAGTTGGTCATATATTTGGTGTTATGAGTTCGCTGCTTTCGAGGACGAAGATGGTCTAGTTTATCCCACCTAAGATGCTATCCAAATATGCAGAGTAGCAGAGTTAGAAATCCGAGAAATAATAAACAAATAACAAAAATTTCACACGAGGCCATCATTAAGTAAGCCTCTTCTGATTAATAAGATGTTACCATATTTTGTCAGTAGTAACATTTTCATTCGTCATGCCACTCATCAATTTGATCAATTACCAACAGAAAACCATCTACTAAAATTAATTAAGACAGTCGCAAGTTCATATATTGAGGTGCGTTTTCATTATTTAAGTTAATCGATAAGATCTTCTATTACAAAAAGATGTTATATAATAAGCTCATTTTACTGGACGTACAATAGTTTTAATATTTGAAGTCGATTAAAAAGTAAAGTCACAATTTTTTTTAAAGTAAAATAAGGGACTAAACTATCTTATTCTAGTATTTTTCTACTATATTAATATTACGACTACTTGTAATCAACAAATACTTGAACAAAAATTATTCTATTTAGAATCGATTATCGATCGAAAAACACTTAGTTGGCGCTTCTACGCTTCAGAACAAGGACGAAGGTGGTCTAGTTTATCCCACCAAAGATGCTATCCAAATATGCAGAGTAGGAGAGTTACAAATCCGAGAAATAATGATCAAATCACAAAAACTTTACACGCGGCCGACATTAAGTAAACCTTAAATTACTTTAGTAAGATTTTAGATATTTTGTCAGTAGTAACATTTTCAGTTGTCTTACCATTCACCAATTTGATCAATCACCGACTGAAAACCATCTAGTAAATTTAATGAAGGCAGTAGCAAGTTCATATATTGACGTGCGTTTTCATTATTTAAGTCAATAGATATGATCTTCTATTACAAAAAAACAGTTATATAATAAGCTTATATTACTTTAAGGACAATAATTTTAATATTTGAAGTTGATTAAAAATGAAAGTTTAAATTATTAAGTAATCAAATTTTTTTTAAATAACTTTTAATAAAGGACATAACTATCTTGTTTTGCTATTTTTCTACTGTATTAATATTTCACGACTACTTGTAATTAACGAATACTTGAATCGATTAATTGAATGGAATACGTGTATTCCGTTCAATCAATCGATTTAGCGCGGAAGGAGGTTTCCCATCACTAAATAGTTCTTGTGACGTCATGGTGGATACATAAAATGTCGCACGCTCGGTTTTCATACAAATTGCTGTACTTGCGGCGTCTATCTAGATATATTTCTGTGAAACAAATCCTTAACAACAGGTCTTAACAACTTGGGATGTTTTACTCGTACCCCTTTTCACTAGAGCCACAGATATATCACCAGCTTAACTTATAAATAACAAAGTACAAACGCCAACAGTCAGAAATCATTAATGTATTGAAGTTAATGGCGCGTTTACACGGGGTCGACTGACGCCTTCGATAGACTACTTCGTCTCGCCGGAGAAGGGGCAAACGACTCACTGTTTACGCAGTGTCAACTGCCGCCTCTTCGACAAGCGATGGATGGAGCAGTATAATGGAGTTGGCAGCTGATTTTAATTTTAATACTTCCAAAAAGGTCCTCTCTACTCAACCCCTTAAAAATATCGCAGTCCTTTCGAGGTCACTTTCCATAGAGAAGCATTAGTAGTTACTGCATACTCTGTCTGAGTAAACACTTAATACTGACTTTTATAGAATCCTTCAATTTCTTTTAAAAAAATATAAAATATAATCACAATTTGTCTTCTTATGATCCGGTCAAATCCAGTTTATACCGGTAACATGGACATTGTTTTTAAGAGTCTTTATACTAAATGTAAGACATCTATGCGAAGCAATGTTCTCTCATTTCACATCTATCTCATTTTTATACTGTCTGTCGTATTATTCGGCAAGTTCCAGTAAAATTTAGTTTAAACTGGTCATATCCGGTACGTTCCGGTCGAAAGTTCATTTGACGAAATTCGTGATATTATAATCGCACTGTTAAATACCTATGCTACGCAGGTGAAGTGGTGTAGAACCGTTTCATCGTGGAATCGATATCGACTACTGCGCTACGAACCTCGTGTGTTGCAGCACCTATGGACTCGAACGTAGTTGCTAGTCGATCGATTGCTTGCGCCTGGGTGAAAAATCAACATTAAAATATATATATATTAGTTACGTCATGGACCAATAAATCAAGAAGTCTATTAATAACTATACAAGACGGCGTACTCAGGTATTTAGTACCTATTGGTGCACTAGATGTCGCGACTAGTACCAAATAGCTATTTTTGTAACTAATTTGTTTTACATTCATCATCATCATATCAGCCGGAAGACGTCCACTACTGAACATGGGCCTCCCCCATTGACTTACAAATAAATGGACGACCGGTCTAATACAAAAACCACGAAAAAAATGTCCCAAGTCAACCTCTTCGAAATTTAAATTGTAATGTCATCGCAGTATCGCGCTGTCAGTCGAACAAATGAAGACTAAAGCGGAGTTTGGCGCTCTGTATACGATTTTAGCGCCTTACAAGTGCGGACCCGACGTCCATATAATTGTAAGTCAATGGCCTCCCCCAAAGATTTCCAGACCATCCGATCCGTCCTAATTTTGTTTTACATTAACGAGCTGCAATACATCAATGATACTCGAATTTCCAGTGATAACAAATAAATCAACTAGATGGCGCTTATTGCGCAGATTTTTATGAATACTGCCGGTTATTTATTTATTTAAAATTAATTGCACACAAAACAGTACAAATGGTCGACTTAATGCCATTACGCATTCTCTACCAGTCAACCAGAGAGCTGGGTTCAAAATAATTAACAGGGGTGCATAACATGATAATTAAAACAGATAGGATGAAGTTTGTAAACAATTATGATATATAGAATAAAGCACATAATATTATATGACTAACTATATACTTATATAAGCAATCTATTTACACATAAATACATAATATATAATACATACATACATATATATATATTTAATATAGAATGTCAGATTAATGGGATGTAGATTGAGACTCCAATATAAAATCGCGGATTAATAGATTGAAAGTTAGTTTATTGGGCGCTTTTCGAATATGAGGCGGTAGAGCGTTCCAGTGTCGTATTGCCTGAAGAACAAATGAGTTAGAGAGAAAACCAGCACGGTGAGAAGGAATGAAATTGAATTGAATTAAATAAAAATTAGAGTCAATTTGCTGTCTGAGCGAAGATTGCGATTAAGGGATGCACTCAAATATTGAAATTTACATTTCAAATATTCGGGTGCACATTTATCATTAATGATAAAGAGCGGAAAGTATTCTCAAATCACAACGCTGGCGAATCGTAAGCCACTTCAGCTCATTGCGACATGCGGACACGTGATCAAATTTTCGAAGTCCATAAATAAAGCGAAATTATTATTTTATTTTGTTTACGATTAGCGCCATCTACCCATATTAGCAAGCATTAACTTTTAAATTCGTTTGTAACACACAATGCCATCTATATCAATATAATAGAACGTATCAACGCATAATAATAAATATAACATATTAAGAGGAATAATTGATATCCAAGGCCATCTAATATATACTATTTCCAGGCTATTGACCAGCGCAATCTAGATATAGATGGGATTTTGACCTTTTTCAGAGTTGCAATCTGGAGTATGGAGATTAGCTGTCGTTTTGAGTTAATGGCCCATGCTTAATGTTCGTTTGCAGTTGTTACTAGGGTGTCCAGGTAAAAACAAATCTAGAAGTAGGTTTCCAGACCTTATAGGCTAGTCATTTAAATTCATTTAGTAGCAGTAGAGCTCCTTGTGAAAGAGTTCGTCCAGGGAAGTACTGCCACCTTACCTATTTCTGCCGCCAAGCAGTAATGTAAGCATTACTGTGTTCCGGTTTTGAAAGGTAAGGGTGAAATTACACTTGGGACTTGTCAACTGTGTCTCAGGGTGACGGGCGCAATGGAAGTGCCCCTCAGGTCTTTGCGATCTATACCTCTGAGTGGCACTGCAACTGTTATGGTGGACAGGCGTGTAGATTACCATCAGTCGCACGATCTAGCTCATCACGTCACTTGACATTATAAAAAAAAAACTTGATATTTTAATCATGTTCTTTATTAAATCAAAATATAAAATAAAAAATTATTTATGAGTTATTTTTTACGTTTTTATAGAGGGCACGTACGACATAATAAGCATTTGATATAATTTCAGATAGAGAGGACGTCATTTTATTATTGTTCTTCAGCTTGCACAGATTATACCAAGCTCTACTCTACAGTGTTGCTATATCCGTCTAAACAGAATAAAAAATACTGTTGATTCAGGAGATTTTTAACTATTAGCGCCCAGTTCATCGAGTATTCGACGTAAGTAAGTTTTCGACGTGCGGTAACCGCCCATTTATCACGCTTTCACGTATATTAATGGCGAATCTGAATTATGTTTACTAGGCAACATTTAAATGTCTTGGAATAATAAAACCGTTAATAACCAACAATTCAAACAAATGTTACGTAACTAGAAAAAAGTCGACAACCTCTGGAATTGGGAAATAACCTTTCTCCCACTGGACAACCACTACCCTCATTCTCATAAGTCATGTGGGACACAAATTGGCACTGTACGGTTAGCCTCATAAACTGATGTTCATTATATGATCAGGCTTGGTTATAGAGTATCAACATTATCGTTACGGAATAACTTTTATACATACATAATTAAATAATTGGAATAAAATAATAATTTGTTTTAATACAAACCTGAAGGTGCGAGGCTTCGGCGAGTCGTTCCATCGCTTGCGAGCTGGCGTTAGATGCGAGCGCCAACTGCGACAGCGCAGACGCCTGGGCGCTCATTACTTTTACCTGGAGAAGTATTATTTATGATTTATTCTTTTTTATTCTTTATTTATTTATCTATTAACAATTATTGAATGGCTAAATATATTTTATCTATACACATATCTTAAACCCTCTGTGATGTGTTCGTAAACCGCAAATTAAGACCACCATAAAGATAAACTGTTTTGTTAGATCAAATTTCTTACCTTGAAAATGTCATTATTAAAATTATTACTAAAGGTAATATTCAAATATTTTTTAAGTAAAATTTCTCCACCAATTTGTTATTAGTACATTATGATACAAGTGTGCTAAGTTGGTCATTACTCATTACACACGAGGCGTTATTACTCGCGCGAGCCGCAGGCGAGCGCGATAAGAAAGCCGAGAGTGTAATGATCAAAGCACACGTGTTTCATACGACGTTTTTCAACACATTTGCGAGGAAAATGAAACAAACTTGAGTAAAATGGAAATGAAAAATAGCTTTATTTGGCATTAATTATACAGATACACTGAATACTATATTAAGCTCACGTTAATGTAAATAATATTATTCTATTCTATACTATATCTATCAATAGCAATTAATTAAGAGTCTCCAAAGCCTATCAAAGTCATTGTATCTTGATTTTATCAAAAATGTAGTTATTTAAATTTAATTATTAAAACAATTGTTAAATGTACAATTTTCAAAATGGTAACGTGCAGTTTTGTTAGGCATTTGAACCGTCTGTGTGATATTATTTGTTACTATTTCATTATTGTCTTCTTGCGTAAAAGTCGGTGATACGGGTTCATTGTGTACAAATATGGATGAAAGTGGTGGTGGTTCATTTAAAGACTCAGAAATAGACAACCTAGGTAACAAATAACTTGTATCACGGGAGGTGGATGGCTGCGGTTCAGGACACATCTTCTTAACCTGGGGCTCCAGATTTATAGGGTGGGTTATTTGAGTACATATGTTGGACTTATTTCGAACTGAATCTTCAACATAAGACTCAGCAACTGTGCTAGATCGCCAGCCACCATGACGCTTTAAAGTAAGCAAATTAGCTCCCGAGTCAGCTAGCAATGTAGCTGATGTTCTTCGGAAACTATGCCCAGTGTATAAATCCGGGTCGGGTAGATTTAAAAACTTGGCAATTTCTTTAGGCATTGCACCAAATTTATTAATGCCTATTGGCTGAGCCACGCATCTACCCTTCTGGTAGTTTTGAAAAAACCGATCGGATTTTGCCTTATCTGTCCTAAGCGCTTCGTACTTTTTTACTATGTCGTAAAATGGACCGTGAATGGCAAACGATCTCGGTACCTTATTTTTAGTGTTGTTAATTTTAATCAAAAGCATTTGGCCATGAGTTTCTACGTCTTTTGCCGTTACTTCGCTTAGTTCTTGGCGTCTACACGCGCCAGTGACACCAAATATCATTGCAACCTGTAAAGAAATTAAAAATATAGGTATTTTCGCAAATATAATACAAGAAAAATGAAAACATAAAAAAATTAAGGTTTAATACGATCAACTGACCTTTGTTGCTAAATACTGATAATCGGGGGCTTCTTTTAAAAACTTTTCGACGTCAGTTGGCGAAAGTACCTTCGATTTTCTTGCAACATACCCATCAGAGCGTCTCTTTAAAAATGCCGTCAGATTTGAATAGTTTTTTATGTCTATGTTATTCTTGTTCTTTACTGTGGTCTTTAACATAGAATAAATGCACCAGAGCGAGCTGGGCTTAAACCTATTCGCCAGTTCATTAAAATAGGCAAGAAAAACATTTTCTGAAAACGAAGACGCTTTTTTGTTGGTTTTCCATTGTATAAAAGTTTCTTGCAGCCATGTATTTTTCTCTGGATTTCGAAGGTAATAAACTGTCACTTGCGTTTTGTGCCTCTGTGAGGATTTCGGGCGGTGTTAAATCCATCAAAATGTTTTCTTCCGTGCTTGAGCAGGACATTTTAAACACCTAGGTAATTATCTAACACACAGCGTATATAAATGTTTCGAACGTATCAATGGAAATTGGCGCGCAGAGTTATTTTTTCTGCGCCTGGCGCCGCGGCGCGGATATGCGCGCGCAGGTGCTTCGGCAATAATGAGACTTAGGTGAAATTCCTAAACAGCCAATGCGAAATAATATAAATATGTCCTTATTTCACTCAAATTCGTGTAAAATATTATCCAAAATAAGTAATTTTATTCAATTAAAGTTTTATAGGTGTATATTGTGTATGTTTTTCTATATTTATCACATCAAATAAGAAATATAAATTTATTAATAAAAATATTATTTGTAAGGTAAGACTACACAACCGTATTAAACAGAAATAAAAAAAAAAACTGTGACCCTGTTTGTTTGGGATTACTGTCATTGTAATTTGAATCTTATAATATGTAGGTTAGAGCTGTTTTTTTAATAGACCAAGTTAATTTAAAGACATAACCCGGATAATTTAAGAATGCATAGTTTTAATACATAGGCCTTGTTGTGAGATACATCTTAATCCGGTTAAGCCTATACTTATTACACACACGTTTTGTAATATAATTACAAACGCGTGTTCAATAGCTAGGTTTATGAGCCTAAAAGCGATACAATAAGAAGCCCGTTACGAGCAAATGTGTTGAAAAATTATTAATACAAAGATAAAACACTCAGAAAAAAAATCCATCGATCTGGCCGGATTTGGACCGACGGCGACGTCTTCTAGCATACCGTACCAAACGCTATACCAACTAAGCAACTAATTCATTGTATTTAAATTTTTATTGAATTGATATTAATAATTATAACAAACTAGTGGAGTAATTTCACATAAAAAAACACTACACTTGAAATCATATTTAGTAGCTGTTGACCTCTTTGTGAGAGTTCATTCAATGTGTGCATTACTGCGATTCGGTTTTAAAGGGTACTGGTGAAATTACAGGCACGTGGGACTTGTCAACTTACATCTGTGCCTCTTCGATATTTGCGGTTTAAGCAGCACTGCAACAATTAGACAGGCATGTCGCTCACCACCAGGCGCACAACTTGTCGTCCAGTCACTTGATATTATAAAAAAAACTTCCAACCGACCTCTATTTCAATATATTACATACTAATTTCTCCATAACAGCCATCTGTCTTTCCTCAAAGTCCATCATAGGCTCTTCGAACACATGCACCGGCTCCGACTCGACATGGTTCTGATCCATACTGTCCTCATTGAAGAAGCTCTCTTCCATAAACGATTCTTGCTTCACTGAACTTCTTGTTTCTGGAAGGTGGAAATTTACAATCTCTTTATTTATAACAATTTGGAAGTAGATTTGTATTTTTAACCGACTTCAAAAAAGGAGGAGGTTCTCAATTCGACTGTATGCTGTTTTTTTTTGTATGTATGTTACGCGATAACTCCGGTATTTGTGAACCGATTTTCATGATTCTTTTTTTGTTGGAAAGGGGGTACTTCCATAGTGGTCCCATTTCATTTTGAAGAAAATCATCCACCTCGAAGGGTGGCTGTTCACGCATGAATATTCATTTTCATAAATAGCGCCTAACATTAATTTAGGAGCAATTACTTTAATGGTTGATTTTGCTATTTCTCCAATTCAAGGCGTTTTTCTCTCGATATACTTTGAGTAGTGAGAACCGATTTTTATTATCTCCAGTGTCAAGTCCTGTATAGTGGCGAACTAGGAGATATTTCAATAAAACTTAGCAAATAGACGTAATTCCACGTACTTTTGAGGTCGGTTTTTTTAGTACTCTGTACTGAGATTATTTTATTATTATAAGGGACAAACCCCAGCCTATATCTAGTCCCCTGATGATAAAGGGAAGGCAGAATCAAATCGCGCAATTCCCTCGCACACTCTCCGTGATATTTCCTGTACAATACAGATGAGCTGGCAACTTTACGGCGCGCGGCGGTGCTCAAGGCTCCGCAGATTGACATTACTAATTCCGAGTCACCTATAAGCCTCTTGACACGCTTATATTATAGACAAATTATTATTGCAGAGTTGGAAAACTAATCAGCGCGGCTGTTATATGAAATGTAATGCAAAGTTTGGATTTTTTTGGCAACAGAGACAAGCATTTCCTGCAATAACAATAGGCTTTGTTTTTGTCTAACAAACACTTACTAGGTGTATCATTAACCAAGAAAAGGTCCCAAATCTTTCTCTCGATGTTGGAACATAGGGTATTAGGATCTCCTCCACCTGACTGCACTTTTTGTCTCACTGTTGATTTCTTATCCGCCCAATACTGGAAGTTTGAAATATAAAAAAAAACAAATTAAGAACAGTATTGTAATTTCAAGTACCTGTTCAGCAAAAAGGGAAGGTTTTGAATTTATAATTTTCAGTTTCAGAGACAATGTCTGTGTGATAATCCGTTGACATAATTGTATTGACTTGTTGGGACAATCACTGTATAAACTAAAATATAAAAACTATTCCGTCAACCGTGACCATGGGACCTGTAAAGGGCCCGAAACGTCGGTTTGTTTGAAAAAACAAATATACGCAATTTAAATGCGGAAAAATAGTTTCATTTCCTATATATAAAATAATTTTTTATTACCTACGAAAAAGCATCCAAATATAAAATAATTAGCATCATACCCAGTAAGAGCAAATCTGATCCGGACAAGCTGGATATACCATTTAAGGGAGTTTGTTTTGTATCATTTAAGTAATATTGTAGAAAAAAAAATACAGTGGGTTATACCACTTTTGCGCTAATAGCCTCAGTCGTGTGTTAATACTGTGATAATTTTTAGCATTGAGCAAGATGAATTGTTTTAATTAAAAATGGCCAGGTTAAAGGAACAAACATTAAAGGGAGTGTGAGAGACTGGAGGTGGCAAGAGACTGTAGTGATATGTATGCATACAATAGAATGATTATATCAACGGGTCCTAGGCAAAACCTATTAAGACTTACTTAAGATTATATGTATTCATATGTAAACAAATGTGTATATCATTAATTTATTTAGTGTATTTATTTAATGAAGTAGCATTCAATTTCTTTATTTATTTATTTTTAATGCCAACCCAAAAATCAACTTCCTCTCAGTTTTTCAAAGGATAGTTGGAAGAAAACCCTTCAAGGGATAAGCTAGCCTTTGTACACTAATATTTTAAATTGTTTCTTAAAATATGTAATTTACTTTGTGGTATGTACAATAAAGTGTTTAAATAAATAAGACTGAATTTTCATAAAATGTGTTCTATACATATAACACATACAATATGCTTTTCATGCGCTTTTCTATGGTGAAACCTCATAAACAGATTTGTGAGTGTAAC